TTTCCCTCCCATCATAGCCCTAGCTATTGCCAGGGGCTCCTGCTACTTTCCCTCCCAGTTCCTTCCTGAGGGGAGGTAAATGCCATCCTTCCCTGAACAGCTGGCTGGCAGCACATCTGGGATGAGCTAACCTCCCGCCAGCCGTCTTCTGGGCCAGCTTCACTCACTTTTATGTTCAGAAAGCCCTAGACATAGAAATAACATCATGGATCGGCCCATCTTGAAGACCACATCCAAGTTACACGTTCAGCTCCATCGGGATTTGAAATGGAATTTCTAAGAGGGTTGACCTTGTTTTTTGAATTTTTTTGGGGTGGTTTGTATTTTTTTTTTCTTCAGAGCTGCCTGCAAGGGTAGCAAAATGAAAGATGAACAGCCAGAATATTTGCATCTGCTAAAGGTTACTTTAAAAGTCAGTCTAGTGTATTTTTAAATTGAGCCTGGAATTAATGACTGTGTGCTGGTTTGACTGTGTTCCTTGCAATATCTCTCAGTTACAATCAACATGAAACCACAAAAAGCATTCATGAAATCACAAAATCCCTGAAGGTCACTTGCTATATTGTTAAAGAACATAAATAGCAGCTTTTTATTAAGCTGGTTGGCAGCCAGATACAAATTTGATAAGAGACTTAACACAAGCAATATTATGTCTGGTATCAGTAACCTGTCTAGGCTATTTATGGGGTTTGCACAAACAACTGAATTAGCCAACACTGAAATGCCAAATTCACAAAAGATGGAGAGGTTCTTTATTTCCACAAGCTCCAGCTACTGTTCTTGGGTTTGTTTTGTTTTTAATAATCTGAGCTATGTAAGTCAGAGTACTTACACATACATTTGCAAGAAGAAAAGTCTCTGCAGGAAAATCTGAGCTCCCTGAAATCTCTGAAAGTTTGTCCTCTGAAGTTCTTCCAAAATACCTACTTACACTTGGCTCATCATTAATGTTTTTTGGGGGGGTTGAGAGCCAAAACAGTTTCCTCACATTCACATAACACCCTTTTCCCTCATGCATGTGAAGAGGACCAAAGACTTTACTAAAGCACAGGCATGCAAACTTCATTAAAGTTAGTGCATCAACTGCCAAATTCCCCTTTCCATTGTAGGGATTCACCCTAATGAACTTTATTTATCCCAGCTAACTTTGTAGGGCTGTTCAGAAGTAATTAGAGGAGAACCTTGCACACCAAGAGTGGCTGTCATCTCGCTTACACATCTAAAATACAGACATTTCTCACCGAGCTAGGTGGCCAAACTCTTACTGTTGTCACTGGGGAGAAAGGGGGAATTCTGCCATGGGACTCATCCGACCACATTTAGACATCCGTTTTACGATGAGATGAATCATGCCCTAGGAAACACACCTATTCAATCTGCTCACATGTAGGTGGCTATGTTCCTTAAGAAAAAAAAAAAAAATCCCTTTTTGTGTGTCTGGAAGCACAACACTTATCTGTAAGAAGTTCCACTCTTGCCTCTTCTTAGCCTGTAAAATAATACTCTTCAAATTCAAACGATTTCTAAACCTTGAAGGAACACTCAAGATATAAATTAATAATCACAGAAGTCAGGGGGGCGGGGGGAGAAGCAAACAAAAAGAAAAAGGAAGGGAATACTTTGTATCTGGAGCACATTCAGACACAAAGCATTGCCAAAATAATTGCAGAGTGATTTTTAGGCAGGGTTTGTTTGTTTTCCTTTGGGACTAGTTATACTATGCTATCATCGACGTAGGTCCGTAACACACATAAACCAGGGTTAAAACTCTTAAGGAAAACTATTCTTACCCACGTTAGTCAGGAAATCCACACTAGAGGAATTACTATGTTCAGAAAGCGATCTCTAGAATGGCTAACCTAGATCTAGGTCTCTACAAAGGCTAATGGACACTAGGAACACTTTTTCAGATGTATCCCTTCCTCGTGATGGTTCATCTTGGAAATGTATTTCTGTTTCAGGAGGAGTTATAAGCCTTGGTGAGGAAGAAGGACCTTGGAAGGCTTAGTGCGTGGCCTTTGATGCTGCCAAGGCTTCCACAGATGCTCCACTCAAACACAGTGTACTATGATGTGAAGTCCATGTACACTCAATGACAAAAGCACAGCAATTATAGGTGATTGACGTCAGCAAGTCCTAGAGGGCTCTCTTTTGTAACAGGAACCTCATTAGATGCTAAAAATGTGTCTGCATACTTGATACAGCTGTAGCATAGTTTAATTTCAACTAGTTTCCTTTTCATAACAGAAGCGCTACCATATTATTGACTCTGACGGTGTAAGCCAAAACTGTACTGCTCATACGTTAAAACTGTGCCAAAAGCAAAGACAGAAAAAAAGGCACAGGGGAAGAAGAGTTTCCCAACCCTCAGCAGGTTCCTCTGTCAGTACACTATTTCTGAATAAGAAGAGGAAAAAGGAAAAAGAAGAAGATCATCTCCCTTTCTGTTAAATTTCAGCGTGTTTTGTCTTACTGCTTTTTTCACCTGTTGAATTATTTTGACTTTGATGCTTCTGATACTAACAGACCCTTTTGGGGAACTCTTTGGTTGCCCTCCCTCTTTTACAACATAGTACCTTTAGGGTTACAGCAGTCAATCCGTTCAAGCTAGATCTTAAATCCATGTCAGTTCTGGGGCTGGATCCAGCTATCTATCAACAAGGGGACCTCCCAAGCAGATGCCATATGCTCAGCACTTGCAGAATACAGCTCTAGAGCTTGAAAATGCACTCAAAGTCCCACATGTTTTGGCACTTCAAAGGCTTATGTTTTGAACCATTCCCTAATGCTAAAGCCCTTCATCTTGGACTGTCCAACCTGAGACACATCTCAAGCCAAATACCCCAAACCAGTGGAGATGTTTGACATTCAAGGTATTGGTGAGTACAAGTACTCTCAGGACTTGTACCTTTAATTAGCCAGCTCTGATTTGTCTCACCTGACCTAAATAATCTCAAAGCAAGACACCTATTCTAAGCTTGTTCTTCAGATTCCTTGTAAAGTCAGTGGTGAGAAATACGTACCAGTAGGTCCTTTTTTTCTCTCTGTTAAGTACAGAAAGAGAATAGACAACTGATTCAGCCTACAGGTCCAATTTTGAAACAGAGTATTTTGAATAGTGCTTGATTGAAGTACCAGTACATGTCTCACTTTGCAAGGAACAGTATGTGGTCAGAAGACATGCGCAGAGAGAGACGTGAGGAGAGACGAGGAGAGGGAGAACACTGACCGAGACATGGGTTAATACCCTAAAGCTAAGTACAACTTCACTTAGAGAAGAATTCTCTGTTGCAGCAGAATTAAGACATTACTCTTGTATATTAAGAGCTGAAATCTGTCTTCATCACAGGAAGCAGCAACACTTCAACTTGAACCAAAGTTTGTTTAAATTCTCGCAAAAATCAAACCTTGCCATGTCAATATAATTGAACTTACATGTTTTTCTTCTGTCACCCCATGGGAACAACTGATAGAAGGCAAGAGGTGATGAGAGTGAGAATGAGGAGAACTGCACATTTTTGAAGAAAGTGAATGAGATTTGGCAACGGGAAAAGAGTGTCTTGGAGACACCAGAACAAAGGCAGGCAGAAAGAAAAGCCATTAGCACTGTCCCCAGGGAAATCTACATAGGTTTCAAAACAGCTTGCTGATAATTTGGTGTTTCTTAAATGCCTTTGTTCCATAATTAACTCTTTTCAAGAAGAAAATTCACCGTGCCTCACTCCAACGTACGCAGTGAGTGTTCACTACAAATCTTTCCATTTTACTACTAGGCTGCAGTTGCATAACAAAACAAAGATCTGAGCAGCTTTGGGTCCGAGACAGCGGAGAAATTGGCAAAGAGGTTTTGCTTCATTTCAGATTTTTCCCACGGCTCGTGGTGGAACTCAGGCCATCAGTTTTCTTAGAGCAAAGTCCAAGGCTCTTAAGAGAAATAATTTCCCTCGCTTGATGTCTCAACTCCCGAGCTGTGTGTGGTCAAGATTTGCTGTGGCACACGCTGCACACTCACTCCCCTGTGCAACTCAGTAGTGACCTCTCCAGCTGAAAGCAGGGTGGTGTCAGGAATAGCTTCTGCTGTAGGAGAAGTCACCAGCCTGCCTGTTCTTGATCACCCAACACCGGACTTCAGAAATGCTTCAAGTCATCCTGGGGGATGTGGGATTTGCACTCTCCTTCTCATCATCTTGCATCTTGTTTTTGTCTATAGAAGGTCATCTTCTGCCACTGCATCCACTTATTACTGAACCAAAGGGCTTACTGGGTTTATTGTTGGGTTTATTATTTATTTATTTTTTAAATCCAGTTCATATTCAGTATCACTCTAATTACGGAAATGAATAACATTTTAAAACCAGTAAGTGATGACTTCCTGTACAAACAATATCAACTTTCCCAATTCGGATTCGGTGTTTGTAAATAGCAGCTATTTGTTCTGATCTGCAGCATGCTAAGACATGGGAAACAGGCACCTCGGTGATCCACATGGAGCTAATATGGGAAATGGACTGACACAACGTCCTGCCACAGGAAACAATACAAAACTAGGAGGGACCCACGTTTTACAAATGTTTATTTCCTAAGCACCCACAAATTCATTTAAAATAAAACTAAACTCAGGAAAGGTAGTCTTCACAGAGGATTTTGTTACCCCCATCTCACCCCGACTTGAGGCAGATAATTGAATTTCATGCATGTTCACAGAAACAATGACTTATATGAAGATTCCTTCAGTATTTTCTTTGCAAATGCTAATGCTACACTGATCAGAAAAGGTGAGTTTTGGTACTTGCCATCTTGTTTCTTTTCAACCTACTCAACAGTTCTTCCTGAAATTGTAAATTTCTGGAGAACTAATATACCTTTCCCCACCTTAGGGCAGAGTGACGCTTTTGGCAGGCATTACATGAGCAGTTACCATGCAGCCTCCCTCGTTATCAATAGTTTGCCCTGACTCTCATATGTGCTTACTAGGACACAATCAATACTTTAGCACCAAGAAATCGGTTTTCAACCAAAAGGATTGTCAAATTCAGAAAATTAAGATGCCAAAGAGGTCTAAGCTTGATACACGTTTGTCCCTTAAACTTTTTACTTTTTTTTGGCGAGTAAGGAAGGAGGAGAAATGTAATCTAATCCTATCTTCGAGAGTGACATCAACATTTGATGACTGAATGTCCTTGAAAAATCAGCAAAACCAAGACACTCAGGCAGTCTGCCTTAACAGATTATTGGGGGCGGGGGGAAAGGGCTATCCAAAAGCTGTTTCTCCAATGATACGTCTCTCTTCCATCACCATATGAATTAGGCAGATAACCTTGGTTCACATACATCTCATTGAGGATCTCTTTCAGATGCAAGCAAGCTACATACAATTCAGGAAGCAGTGAAGAAAGACTGGTTGTGTCTTCAGTTCGTAAAACTTCAGGGTCCAGAAAAATTAACACTTCAAACAGGAAAGAGACCAAGAGAAAGTAAAGGAATCTCTTATATCGCAAAGTGGGTTTAGCAGAGAGGTTCTCAGTCAGAGTCACAACCATCCTTGCTCTTCTCATGTGGTGAATGGAGATGGTCGTGGGTAGAACTCAGATAGAGATGACATCCAGAGTGGGACGTTCAAGAAGATCCCCTGAACGGGAAACTTGCAAAAAGTCATCCAAGAAAATTGTAAGTTTTCCTAGGTAGCAGGAACCTTGGTCACTAATAAATAACCTGCATTGGTTATGCTTCCTTGGATGCATCTGTAGTTGGATATCCAGGGAGTTATATGAAAATGGCTCGGTGAGAAAAACATTCTGTGGTATATTTCAGATGATGGAAAGCAGGATGAACAGCACAAATTATTCAATAATTTCTTCCAATAAAGCAACGCACAATAGTGGGGGGAGCTATCTTATTTTCTGTCATTGTAGTAAAAGGTCCAATTCATTCTGCTTTTTCACGGCACCAGTCCCACTATTTGTGTCACAAAATGAAAACAAAGGCTAATTCACTCTGATGTGAACTCGTTAGAAACAGCAGACACATAGTTTGGAAAACTTCCAGTTGCACATTCTCTGTAATATGGACTTTCAAAATCTGTGGATCCTGGTATCTTACAGTAATCTATTAATTTTATTCTGTAAAAATCAAGAAAAACTAAAATATAAAATTAAATTAAATCCCTAAAAGGTTTACAGTTTCTTCTATTATTATTGTGTCTATTGAATTCAACTGTTCTGAGAAGTGTCTGATTAATATCCTGGAAGAAAACAGGATCAGAAAGCAATTTCTGTTATAGCCTAACTGACCCAGTTCCAGCGTTTCCCATACAGTACACAATACTTGTTTGCTGAGCACAATTCTGTGTTTAGTTTGAGTCCATTTATTCTAGATTTTTATAATCTGTGTAATGTGGACTGCAGAGTACATTTTTGAATGTGACAACATGCAAATAGTAATTTTCTACAGCATGAGGCAATGCAGTGATGTGAATAGACAGCTTTGGCATCCTTCAGCTGCTTAGAAATCTATAATCCTACACAGGTTAAAGTGGACATTGTACCAGATACATGATTTTCATCAGCCATTATCTGATTCTGTAAGATATGATTTCTGATACCCATTTCAGAGATTCACTTCTAGTCTACTTCCACGTGGAGGTCTATTTACTCTAGCAGACTGGTTGGATTGGGTCTTCTTTTTTCTTCATTTTTTTCCTAACAGATAGAACACCAGCACATGTATTTGCAAGCTCTGATAAAGCAGATTTTATACCTTAATTGGTAAAATATCATCACATTTTGCAAGGCTGAAAATACCATTCAAAACCCTGTATTTAACCACAGCTGAACTGCCTTATTCATTTTGCTGGATTGAAGTGCAAGCACCACGAAGTGTTAAAGAAAGGTAATCTTACCGTTAATAAATACATAGACCGTAGATTCCTTCTTCTTTTTCGCTGGACTTGTTGGGTATCTGCAGCTATAGTTTCCAGTGTCACTTGCTTGAGTTCTGCTCAAGGTCAGACTGCTGCAGGACTGCTTCCCATTCCTTCCACAGGCATATTTAATTACTTTCAGCCTTTTGCTATCCTTACTTAGAGTTTCAGGCAAAGACCATGAATGAACCATTTCCCCCCTGCAAATACAGATAAGGAAGCAGAAACAATTATGTTGGGCTGCAATTATATAGCTCCAGTTCCCAAGCTTGCTTTTTTATTATATCAGGCTATTTCTGGGGTTCTCTTTTATCTTGTTTTCCAAAAACAACAACAGAAACAACAAAGAACTATTAAACAATTGCCATTGAAGTTCACTCCCCACCTTTCCCCACAATATAAGGTTTCATTTTTTTTCTGATTTCAGTTACAAAAAAGGAAAGTGTCAGGTGTATGAACTCCCAGCCAAATTATCAGAATCCAACTCAGCTCGTTACCTGCAGGTGAGATTTAAAGTCTGGCCTGCTTGAACAACGTGCTGTGTGCCGTTTATACTCAGCTCAGGAACTTTTAATTTTGATCCTGAACTAGATCCTAGAAAAACAAAGGGGAAAAAAAAAAAGCCATTAACAATGACAAATCATCCTGTTCCCGGTCTGCTCACGTTTATGATGTTATATTGGATGGGGAAAGCAAGGAAAATGGGGTGCCCTCCTCACCACACATATTCTCTTCCTCTGAGAAAAATCCTGCTGCCCTGATTCAGGACTTGCTTAATCTTCCACAAGATTTACTCAGGAAAGAAGGTAGAAATGAAAGCTATGCAAGTTTCGGTCAATGACTTTGCTCTGAAATTGTTCACTGAGCGTACTGTGAAGAAAGTTCAAGACCTTGTGGCTACACATCGAACCGAGGAAGCATGCCCTCGAGCACTGCTGCCTGCATTTCCTTAGGAAACATGGCAGCCCCTTCAATGGGAAGCGCAAAAGTCAGCCGCTTCCATGGCAAGAGCCACGTATTGACCTCTAAGATACCGAACTCTCACTCAAACAACTTTCTGCAAACACGGAACTCCTCTGGAAGGAGCGAAAGGGGATTCAGGACCTTTCCTTCCTGACCGAAAGTCACAGCGCTGGTACCTACGGTCCCTCACTAGCTGCAGGCTTCCTACCCATGAAGTGGTGTCAAAAGGTAACTGGACAGCTCTACAATAAATTGTGAGAATGAGATCAAGGCACCCTCTGGACAAGATTGGCTGGTTATTGAGAAAGCAAGCATGCCGACATGGCCCCGGCCATGGCCGGACCATTCTGGTATGGGAGAAACCCTGGGGTCCATGAAAAAGCCCCATGGTCAAAAGACTAGAGGAACACCGGACTTTCCCTCTCATCAAGGCAGCAAGTACTGGAAAGGCATAAAGTTTTCTCTTTGCCCCATAATAGGCTATGGCCACAAAAGCTTTCATGGCAAGCAGACAGAAATGCATGCCTTAGAGAAGAAACAGTCCTTGATCCATCCCATCGCCCTCCCGCTGACAGCAAAGTGTTCCAGAAGCTAGGAACATAACAAGAAAATATTTTGAAATAGTTGAAGTGGAAAACCAGTTGAAGTCCAAATCTGGACCCGAGTGCAATTTATGAAGATTTCAGTGTTGTGAGAGAGGAGTGGAGAGCACCCCAGATCACTCTACTCCAACAAAAAGCATTTCTTTGTCAACACACAAGAGACACAGCATCACGTGAACATGGGTAATGCAGATTTTCCACTAGAACTCAGTCAAGTACAGTTTCATTTAGCTATTTTAAGCCCTTCCAAGAGGTCCCTGCCACAGCCAAATACAAACAGCTGTACGCACCGAACTTTGTAGAAATACGTGAACCTTATTTGGCTGCTATGGATCACCCACTGGAGAGGTCTCCTTCTTTGGTTGACTATAGAAGGAACTTTTGGACACCAACTCCGGCTGAGATTGGCAACTAAATTTTGGCTGTATAAAACTTCCAAAGTCAAGGGCTGCTCCCAATTCAGCAGCTTTCACCCAGCAGCAGAGGTAGCCTCAGATTAGTGGCTGAATATCAAAACTTTGTTCTGAGATGCAGACTTGAACTCCTTCAGTCTGAGAAAGGCCTAGAAGCCAAGTTTCCACTTTTGAAGAAAGAAGTTAAAAGTACAAGGATTTGGTACGAAAAGTAAAAAGGCACTGCCCTCATCTGCTGGTTTTGGGTTGTTTTTGAGAAGCCGGCTGTGCTCCATTTGTCAGTAAGTATTTCCTACTGATTCCCTATAACATCAGTGGAAACAAGAGGTGTAAATCACCTTCTGGGACTACCGAGCACAATCCATGGAAAGAAGCAAATAGCTGATTAGGACTGCACAACTGTTTGCCAGAGGTGTTCAGAGACCTGTTTCTCTTCCTTAGCAATATAGGAAATGTACACTGTAGGGGTTAACTAACTTTTAATTAACCTTTGGCATCTAAGGTGACATTTGTCTGCATTTTTCTTTCTAGCCCTGTATATCTTATTTAAGCTGTGGCTCCAGTAGTTCTCCTCTGTATATACTATCATCCATCCTTATTCAAAACAAGATTTAAAGGGTACACTTAAACATAGAGGTAAATTAAATTATAGCTCACTTGAATAGGCTTCAAGCAAGGGCGTAACAAGTTTTCAGAATAAAGAGGTCTTCTGAACTGCACCACAAATATTACCAGAAATTTGAATGGTGATACTGTACAAATACACAGACTTCCTCTGCAATTTGCCTAGACAATCATACTTCTGACTAGAAAAGAATACATTCTGCCAGCTGTTAAGACAGGAGAAAAAAAGATGTGGCAAATCTTTGAAGCAGCAATTTGTGATGTGATATATTGCAAACACACATTTTTCTCACCTACCATTTATGGATCTCAACTCTGAAATGCTGAGTCTCCCAAAGAGCGCACTGTGCTTTTATGGGATAGCCTCCCATCGCTGCTTAGGGTCTAAGAGTCTGCTCATTTGCCACTCCGAAATAACGTCCCTGAAGCTAAACACTGAGAAATTGAGATAAGATGTTACAAGAGCTTAGGCAGCTTCTGGAAGAGCAACCCAGGCACTTTGGCTGAGAGAGTTTGTCAATGTCCACCAACTAAACAATCTGACAGTTTCATGAAACTGTCATGTTCCTGCATTTCATTCGTATTCCTCTTGTCACCCCAGAATTGGAGGCGCAGACGCTCTCCCAAGAAGGCAGCGTTTACATCCAGCTTTATCAATCTT